CTTCAGAGACTGGGGCCAGTGAGCTAGGGAGGAGAGCTGTAGCCAGTGGTGGGGGGTGGGAGGAACCACCTCAGCAAATCGAGTCCTTGTCAGTGGTGGGGGCAAGGGAACAGCTGACAGACTTTCAGGATGGGATCTGCTGGTCCGTGCTGTACCAAACCTTTTAACCCTCGGGCATGGCTGGCTGGTTAGCTCACTTGGTTAGAGCATGGTGTTGATAACACCAAGGTCAAGGGTTCAGAGCCCCTTACCAACTAGGAAGGCATAGCTGCAAGTAGCCGGATGAGAGGGAAGTAGAGCATTTAGCAGAAGCAGAGGCTGCGGAGTGACCAGGAATCCCCTGTGGCTCCTTGAAGATATTGGGAGGGGTCTCTGGTTTCCCTCCATGTGTGGGGAGGCGGTTGAGCCCAGTTATTGGACAGATGCACTAAGAGTACATCTTACTTGCCAAATAAATAATCTGTTAGGGGTGACGTTTTCTGTAGAATAGAGTGCTAATCTCATTCTGCTGAGTCTCCCCAATCTGGTGGCCTTGGTTACATTTTTCTTCTCTGTATTTTCCCCCAAACTCCTTTTCTCCTCTTTTTCCAGGGAGAATAATAGATATTCAAAAGTTGTTTCTGGTGCTCTGTTTCAGTTTAAAGATCAAAAAGTCAGTTGTTTCAACATGAGATCCTATGATGAGTCGAGATTTTTTTTTCCCTGAATGCCTCCTGCATTTTCTGTGCCTGGCTGTTCACCCACATTCTCTGCAATGCTCCGTGCTATGAACCATCCTTTCAGTAAATTCCATTCTCAGATCAGCCAGTTTTGTGCTCTAGTTTGCAGTTAAGACCACAACCTCAGTCTCAGAATTAGGAAGTAAATGTTAATTATTTATTTTTATTTTTGGCAGCTGGCCATTAAGGAGATCTGAACCCTTGACCTTGGTGTTATAACATCATATTCTAACCAACTGAGCTAACTGGCCAGCCCCAATTATTCTACATTGAGATCAAGCTCTAATGCTACAAGTGAATGAGGTTCATTGCACAGCTTTGGAAGAGAAGAAGGTGGTGTGTGTGGGGGGCGGCGGGGAATGAAAGGAAAACAAAAAGTGTGAAAGAGCAAAACTAATTGCACATTAATAGAGGAAGCAAGTAGTAATTGGTGTGTCTACTTGGACATGCTATCTCCATAGGGTGGGTGTTTGTTTTTAACATTTAAAAAATTATGATTGGGGCCGGCCCGTGGCTCACTCGGGAGAGTGCGGTGCTGATAACACCAAGGCCATGGGTTCGGATCCCATATAGGGATGGCCGGTTCGCTCACTGGGTGAGCGTGGTGCTGACAACACCAAGTCAAGGGTTAAGATCCCCTTACCGGTCATCTTCTTTAAAAAAATAAAATAAAATAAAATAAATAAAAAATAAAAAATTATGATTGAGCTAATTATCCTGATCTGAGCATCACATATTGCACACAGGTATTGATATTCAACGTATTGATATGTACAATCAAATATGCTTCAATAAAACATTTTAAAAATTATGATTGGGATACAATTCATATAACATAAATGCCACCATTTTTGTGTACATTATAGTGGTTTTTAGTATATTTACAATGTTGTGCTATAATTGCAATCAGCTTTAGAATATTTTCTCTACAGGCCAGCCCGGTGGCGCACTGGACAGTGTGCTGCTTGGGAGCGCGGCAGCGCTCCCGCCGAGGGTTCGGATCCCATGTGGAGACTGGTTCCCGCTCACTGGCTGAGCGTGGTGCGGGCTCAACACCGAGGGTTGCGATCCCGTTGCCGGTCCCCGGTACGGGCGCGAAACCGAGGGTTGCGATCCCATTACCGGTCAGTAAAAAAAGACAAAAAGGAAAAAAAAAAAAGGAATATTTTCTCTACCTAAAAAAACCTCTTAGCCAGCACCCCCTGCATGTACTCCACTCTTCCCGCCTCTCCAGCTGTAGGCAGCCACTCGTCTGCTTTCTGTGTCTCTGCATTCTCCTGGACATTTCGCATAAGTGGAATCATACAGTATGTGGCCTTTTTTTTTTTTTTTTTTTTTTTTTTTTTTT